TAGTGTAGCGGCTATGAATGTTAGTTCGAACTAACGTCCGTTAGTTCGAACTAACATTGTAGTGTAGACATACCCCATGTTTGTTACATTAATTCAACATATGTACTAATCATACTGTATAGTGAATTTATCAATCAAAATCTCATAGGTCATAAAATGAGGGAAATGACCATTTAAATTATGCAATGTTTGTAAGACTTTGTTTTAAATGATACATACCTGGCTTAATCTCTTTAACATTTCTGAACCAATGCCCAATCCTGTTTAATAGGTCAAACATTAAAAATATCAGTACACTCACATGTTTCGTGGCAAGATATATTTTAATGATGTTGTAGATGGACATTTAAAATATTTAATTGGAAATTCAAATTAAATTAACTTTTATATAGAAAGATAATATAATTACTTTTCTAATACATAATGTCATTGGAAAAGAGAAAATACACATTTTGTATTATTTCATTTTTAATTTGTATAACAAATATATTTTGAACTAAGCTATGTGTGTTATGACTAGATCATAAGGAAATGTTGATTTACAGTGAAATAATACTTTTTAAACTACAGTGTTTTGCATAAAATGTCTTTTCATTTGTGATTACTTGTACTACTATGAAATTTTGGAAATTGTTTACATTAAATGTTTTTATTTGTAAATAATTGTGATTTATTTTATCACCTTCAGAAGTACTTGAAATAAAGAGCTAGCATGGGAAAGTTTTTTAAAAAGTTAATTATTTTATATATTGTGTCAATGTTACTTCATTTACAGGTCCAGCTCTTGATCCTTTTAATTAAATTTGAAGGCATTAAAAGTTACTATTAAACATGATTATTCTTAGAAAATAAAATATACTTAGTTCTCTAACACTGGAAAACAATATTAACTCCACCTTCTAAAGTTTCAAAATTAGAGTTCAAATATTGTTCAATTTGAATGCTTCAATGTTTGGAGACACATTCATGCTTTCTTCCCTTATGAGACTTGCAGGGTATTTATTTACAGAATTATATACCTAGAAATAAGGAAAGAAAATGCTAGAAGCTAATTCATACTGAAATAGTAAATAAGTAATTATCTGATATGTTTAGTTAAGAATGAGGGATGTTAACAAGTATCCTTGTTTATTTACCTCTATAAGGTTCCATGACATAGAAGTCTTCCAGATAAAGTAACTTGCCAATCCAAGGATCATATGTAAAATAATACATAGCATAGCCTACAGTGCAACTACCTGAAAAGAGTGAACATAAAAAAGTGAAATAACTGACTCTCCTATGTAAAGTACAATAACAATATGATTGTTTAGATTGTTTATAGTTATTTTTCAGCCCTTTAAAGGAAACTTTTGATGTAAACACTGGTAGCTCTCAGTGAAAAGTCCTGTGTACTGAGCCATATTAAAATGCGACCAACATAGATTTCAGACCAAGCAGTACAAAGCCAATATTTGCTTTAATAGTATTGAAAGGCATGCGCTCCAAACTGCAAAGTATTTTAAAAGTCCTGGATATTTTCCACAAAGAAGACACAGGTAACTTCTGGAGGTACTAGGAAGGAAACATTGCGTACCTGCTGATAAACACTAAGGCAGTGGTCACCAACCAGTACTTAGGGATCTACTGGTAGATCTTGGAGCCTCTGACAGGTGATCCTGACTGGTTTGGCCAAAAGGCTCCCAAGGGCTGGCAGTTCAGCTGCCCCTCCTCCTAATGCTGTGCACCTCCTGCCTTTTGCCTTGGAGCTGCCTCCCCCACTCCCCGGGGAGCCTCCTGCTTGCTGTGCAGGGCAAAGGAGGGAGAGAAGGGATGCTAATGTCAAGGTGCCCCCTCCCACTCTGTATCCTATCTCCACAGAACAGGGTGGGGGGCACAACAGGACTTGGGATGGAGTTTGTTGGCTGCTTTTGGGAGTGGTGCAAGGCTAGGGCAGCGGTGAGCCTGCCTTAGCCCTGCTGCACCAGGAGCCACGAGGTAAGCGGTGCCCAGTCGGAGCCCACATCCTGAAACCCTACCCCAGTCATGAACCCTCTCCTGCACCCCAAACCCCTGACCTAACCCTGAGCACCCCTGCATCCAAACACCCTCCCAGAGCCTGCACCTAGAATTCCCTCTAGCACCTCAACTGCCTGCCCCAAATTCAGCTCAGAGTCCCTCTCACAGTCCAAATCCCTTAATCCAAGACCAGAGCCAGCACCCCAACCCTCTGTCCCAGCCTAGTGAAAGTGAGAGAGGATGAGGGGAAGGAGGGAGGATGGAGAGAGCAGGGATGGGGCCTCAGAGAAGGGGCACAAAGGAGGCCGGGCAAGGGTATTTGGGTTTGAGGTAGATCTTGGATTGCACTTAAATGCAAAAAGTGATCTGCTTTAAGAGGTTGGAGACCACCGTACTAAGGTATAATCAGTAGAAAACATTATCAAAAGATTTTGCAATTTTTTTTTTGAGGTAATGAGTGAAGCAGTTCTTCATAAGGAACAGGTTTCAGATGAAATGTATTTGCATTACTAACAGTAGTCAAGTCTCTATTGCCATTTGATCACATCCACAGAATTAGTATCACTGCCTGGCACTCTTGTCGATCTCCCAAAACTGACAAAGTGTAATGTGCATTGTGGATGCACAGCATGTCACCAGTGTGCCTCAATTGTGACGCGAGTGGAGCACCTTTAAGATAGAGAAGATCATTCAATCTCTGTCCATCTGTTGATGGCAGTGATCTTTTTGTTAAAGTATCTAAAAGAAAAATCTATGACATTTCCTTGCTATGGTCAGCTAATGAGTCCAAATTGGAAATTGAGAGCACTGTACCCTTCTCAGTATTGTTATCCCTTATGTCACTCTTTGTGTAATCAGGGATTACAATAGGTAATTAATAGATAACTAATAATAAGTAAATAAAGTATGTTTAGCTTACTTCCTGCTTGTCCCTCCTTTGGCACCTCTGCTATTAGACAGTGGTAGAAAGGATGTTCTCCAAAGCCATCTTCAAGCAAATCTAAAAATAAAATTAAAACATATATGCCAATGGCAGGCTTAAAAATAGTAAATAAGACTATTTATTAAGTAGCTGTCCTACTGAGGGAGTACTTGGAAATAGCTATTGGTGGTTGTAAAATTACAGCCATCAGCCTTTTCCATAAGAATGCATAGAGTATTCAAAAGGGGTAGACTGGAATAAGAGGGAAAAGAAATAAGTATGGTAGGGTGAGAATAAAAGTTATTTTGGAGCATGAATCAAGATATTAATGCACTAGGTTGTATTTGCAATAATCTTTAAGTAATATGGAGGGAAAAGGCATAAAGCTAAATAAAGGTTGTGAAATTGAAAATGTTCAAATATCAATATTTGGGGGTGTGGAAATACTAAAATGTATCTGCTATTGACAGTTTATCATGTGTATGTTTTGACTGTCCATTTACAGCTGAACTGCATAACCCTTCCACAAGGCAATAGGATTCTTTCTGTTGACTACAGTAGGCTTTGGATCAGGTTCCTACTCTGCTGCTACAGTACTTAAAATAAACAAAGGGTCATGGTTTTGGGTTGTATATTTAGAGCAGTAAAGTGTTAAATAAAAAAATTCAAATGTTGCACTTCACTTTTCATCTGAAACAAGCTTTAAAAGTAGTTTGACTACTTCACCTAGGCTGCATCTAGACTGACAAGATTTTGCGCAAATACTTTTAATGGAAAAGTTTTTCCGTTAAAAGTATTTGCTATACTGGCATGTTGAGAGGAATGCTTTGTGCAAAAGCATCTGTGCCAGTGTAGACGCTCTCTTGCGCAAGAAAGCTCCAATGGCCATTTTAGCTATCTGGCTTTCTTGCGCAAGAAATTAACTTGGCTGTCTACACTGGCCCTCTTGCGCAAGAATACTTGCGCAAGAGGGCTTATCCCTGAGCGAGAGCGTCAGAGTATTTGCGCAAGAACCACTGATTTTGTACAGTACAAAGTCAGTGTTCTTGCGCAAATACTTGCAGCCAGTGTAGACAGG